CCCAAAGCCCAGCCCCTTGCGCACACCCTGGGACCCAGTGGGGGTGACCTGGTGGTTGCTGGGTGTGTGTGTGTAAAACACCACCACCACCACCGTTTTTCTTACAGCTGACCCATTCTGTCAGTCGCTCTCCCAGCCAACCCCCCCATGTGAGCTGAAATGCAGGAAATGACAAATTTCAACATCAAATCCAGAAAATGAATAGATAAAATACACCTCTCCTGTGTGGGAACGGAAGAGGAAAACGGGGGGGGGGGGGAGAAGGGCTCTATCGTTAGGGTAACCCTCAAGCTGTTCTTGACCCTGTGTGCTGATCTCTATCTGTGGGCGAGAATTTGCCAGAATGTCAACTTTAAGAAGAACGGTTTTGTTTTTTTAGACATGTCCCCAGCAACCTCTGGGTGAAGTGCCCCCAAATTTGGATCACTGCCTGTATCCTGTGTCCCAACACTAAATTTCAAGGCAATCTAATTACCTGTATAGAGTTTAAAGCAACTAAAACAGTCAAGCTTCTAAACAGAAAGCTGGTTTTTCTCTTAATTATGGCAGAGCTGTTATATGTTGTTTTTAGAAGTTAATATATTTAAACATTGCTGCTTTGTCCTGTGTTCTATAGGTATGTGGCTCAGGCAAAAGAAGAGGCCAGAAAGGGAAATCTGGAAGAGTCGCTTCAATTCTTCAAACTTGCAAATGAAATTGATCCCAGTGAAAAGCTGAGGAACAGAATCAAAAGGCTTGAGGAAACACTTGCAGAGCTGGCACTTGCCACAGAGGAGGAGGATGGGTTTGTGGATGTGTGTAACAGTGGTCTTACCATCTATGGAGAGATGCACAACAAACTTTTTGAACATCAGAGAGAAGGCGTGGCCTTCTTATACAGCCTCTACCGCGATGGAAGGCAGGGGGGCATACTGGCAGATGACATGGGTTTGGGAAAGACTATCCAGATCATTGCATTCCTTTCTGGGATGTTTGATGCTGAACTCGTACAGTTTGTACTGCTGGTCATGCCAACCACCCTTGTTAGCAACTGGAGGAGAGAGTTTGCCAAGTGGACTCCAGGACTGAGGGTGAAAGACTTCCATGGCACCAGCAAGACTGAGCGGAACAGAAACCTAGAGAGAGTCCAAAGAAAGACTGGTGTAGTGATCACAACGTATCAAATGGTGATCTATAACTGGCAGCAACTTTCTAGCTTTAATGAACAAGAATTTGTCTGGGACTACATTATTCTTGATGAAGCCCATAAAATTAAGTCTTCCTCTACAAAAACTACTAAATCTATGTATGCTATTCCTGCAAAAAACCGCATCCTCCTCACAGGGACACCAGTCCAAAATAACCTACGTGAGATGTGGTCCTTGTTTGACTTTGCCTGTCAAGGGTCCCTCCTAGGAACAGTGAAGACATTTAAAATGGAATACGAGAATCCCATTACAAGGGCAAGGGAAAAAGATGCGACTCCAGGAGAAAAAGCTCTTGGACTTAAGATCTCTGAAAATCTAATGACTATTATAAAGCCATATTTTCTCCGAAGAACTAAAGACGACATACAAAAGTACAAGTCTGACAAAGTCGAAACCAGTCTTCCAGAGGATCAGAGTAAGAACATTGCTCCTGTAATGCCTTCTTTTACCAGGAAAAATGACTTCATTGTGTGGGTGTATTTAACACCAATTCAAGAAGAAATATACAGAAACTTTCTCTCTTTAGATCATGTGAAGGAGTTGTTGATGACAACTCGGTCACCTTTGGCTGAGCTAAATGTCTTAAAGAAATTATGTGATCATCCCAGGTTATTGTCAGCCCGAGCGTGTAGCCAGCTTGGCTTGGAAGGAGGTGTTTACACTGAGGATAAGGAGAATGAAGGAGATGCATTTTCAGGTGCTAACAAAATTGATCATCTCTCAGATAAGCTTCTGATTGAGGAGTCTGGGAAATTGCTGTTCCTTATGGGACTTCTAGAAAGGCTGCAAGAGGAGGGGCATAAAACTTTGATATTTTCTCAGTCAAGAAAAATGTTGGATATCTTAGAGCGCATTTTAACTCACAGACATTTTAGGACCATGCGTATTGATGGAACAGTGACACACTTGGTGGAACGAGAGAGGAGGATTGCTGTCTTTCAGGGTAAGAAAGATTACTCTGTCTTCTTGCTTACTACGCAAGTCGGAGGTGTTGGCATAAACTTAACAGCAGCTAGCAGAGTGGTGATCTTTGATCCCAGTTGGAATCCAGCTACTGATGCCCAGGCTGTAGACAGAGCTTATAGGATTGGACAAAAAGAAAACGTAGTGATTTATAGGCTGATCACCTGTGGTACCGTGGAAGAGAAAATATATAGGCGACAAGTCTTTAAAGACTCATTAATAAGACAAACTACTGGTGACAAAAAAAACCCATTTAGGTATTTCACTAAGCAAGAATTAAGAGAACTCTTTACACTGGAAGATACTCAAACCTCTGCAACCCAGATTCAGTTACAGTCCTTGCATGCCACCCAAAGAAAGACTGACTTGGAGTTGGAGGAACATATTGCTTACCTGCACTCGCTGGAAATGTTTGGCATTTCAGATCATGACTTAATGTATACACGAGAAATAGCTCAAGAACAGGCTGAGAATGAAGAAGCTCATCAGTATATTCAACAAAGGGTACAGAAGGCTCAAGAGCTGGTCCAGTTAGAATCTCAGCTCAAAGACCAACTGATGGGGAGAATCAAAAATAATACTGAGGGAGCATGGCTGACACAACCCAAATCCTCTTCCCAACCAAAAAAGGAATGGCCAGGCTTTAACACAAATTACATTTCACCACCTGTATTAGCTGAACCTGCAAATGAAGAAGTTGCTCATCTTATAGAGGATGAAGATGTTGCTGATGTCAGTGCAGGAATGACAAGTTTGGTGATCGTGGATTCAGGCGAGAATCCGGAACAGGATATGTCTAATATGGATATTGATGAATCACTTAGCAGTAAGGCATTGAAACAATCCAATATACATGAACCTGAACAAAAACTTGATCCAAATGTTATACCATCTTCCTTTGGTATTCGCTCTCGTGCTAACAAAGAGACTCATAGTCCTGAACCAAGCCGACACTCCCAAAGCATAAGTGATGTCCATGTTACCTCTTCACTGCATTCACAGCCTTATGATGAGAATGAAAACCCTGAACTTGCCTTCCCAGTGATATCCAAAAGTCTTTTCAATGTAACATCAGAATTCCCTAGCAGACACCAGAAGTCTCATGTAAGCGAAGCCAGTTTGGATAGTACCTCTGTTACATCTTTTCAATATCAGGCTGACTTCAATCTTGTTTTGGAAGAATCAGAAGATGGACAGCAAGATGTCTCAAAAATGGAAAAGATACTGGAGTACTCAGAGAATGCAGGCTTTCAGCTCAAAGCAGGAAACCATAGCAGTTCTGCAATGAATTCTTGGGTAAGAGAACATGATGATGATTTTGGGAGTCCCTGTAATGTAGCCATGAATGATCTAAATGACTCTGCACCAGTGCGTGAAGCCTTGATGGAAAGCAGCAGCATCATAGCTGTTGGCAAAAGGAAGCATGCTAGAAGAATGGTTTTGGATAGTGAAGAGGAAGATAATTCAGTCATAATTTTGGATGAAAATCTGCCTGAAAAAATGTCCTCTCCCTTAAACAGCCCTCTATGTCCATCTCTAACAGGAATTAGTTCATCTACTCCGAAATGTGATAGATCTCTAATTGGATCCACGTTTTCCCCCAGGGGAAACAGATCTACAGCTTCTAGAAAATCCCTTATTAATGTAGTGATGGACCAGGTTGAGGACTTTGAAGAAACCATGGGAGCTCTCTCCCAAACAGAGAATAGTGATGAGGTGCAAGAAGATCTTGTGGTAGAAGAAGCTGAAGAGCATAGTGTGGAATCTGTGGTGCCCGAGGAAGAACCTGTCGGAGAAACACTTGATACAGAAGGTACAGCCAGTTACTTGGATGATACAGAGTCTGTCACATCTGAGGCAGATGAAACTGACAAAGAGGAATCTACTGGTGACCCCGAGCTTCTGTCTGGGGAGCAAATGGACTGCTTTTCAAAGGAGAGCACAGGCCAGAAAGATTGTCAGACTACTGTGGATTCTCTTCGTGCACCAGATAATTATGATGCCCTGATAGAATGTGGGAAGAAACTGAAAGACAATGGAAAATTACAAGATGCATTGAACTGTTTCCTGCAGGCTCTTGACATAAAAAATGGAGATCCTGAAGTTATGCTTATAACCTTAAATTTATATAAACAACTGTCACAGAGGTGAGGATTTTGGTTACAAGAACAGTCACAAACCTGATTTCACTGGGGAGTGTGGGGGGAGAAGGACCCAACACCAAAACAATCTACAAAATTTCATTAGATATGAACAAGATTTGGGTTTAACTGAGCAAAAGCAGTTTAATTAGCACTTGAGTGCTGGAGAGAAGGGTCTTTGAATGCAGTTCAAAGGCGTACATTCACTGATTTGTATGTTCAGAAATGCTTAAAGTAAACAAACCTTTCTATATTCAATGTCTGTTTTATTTGTAGTAATTTGCCTCTGGGTTTTACCCTTTTGCCTTTAAATTGGGTCAATATATTTTGTTCCTCGGTAGATCAGCTGAAGAGGACCTATTTGAAATCATGGGAAGGTGGGCGGGCAAAGCCCGCCCACATTCTAAAAGCCCCTCCCCAACCTTATGGGAGGGACACTGAACCCATGTTCAACTGAATCCGGGGGACAAAAAATGACAACAGGGTCAAGGAGTGCGGGTCACAGGTTTAAAATAAGGGAGCCGGATGGGGACACCGAGCAGAGAACCCCGGACAGCGCCCACTGCTCCTCAAAGCTGTCGATGGAGCCAGTGGACACCGCCCAGAGGAACTCTGCCCGGATTCGTGACACAAGGGAGGAGCGGAAATAGGCCCCACAGTCACAGAGAACCCCCTCGTCTAACTTCCTCCTCCTGCTATTATAGATGGCAGCTTTCGCTAAGGCCAGGAGGAGGTTGACGAGGAGGTCTCGCGACTTTGTGGGGCCACGGATTGGGTGTGCGTAAATAAAAAGGCTTGATTACTAAAGCATGGAAACCTGCTTGGCTTCACAGTTGCAGCCTATGTTGGTAATTGCTGCATGTGGTCACTTGATCTAATGCTGGCTGGGAAACGGTTACTGCTGTCCCCCTGAATGGGACTAGTACAGTAACTCCTCAGTGAGTTATCCTGGTTAACATTGCTTCATTATTAGGTTGCTGGTCTGTTAGAGAACACACTCATTTACAGTTGTGCAATGTTCCATTATGAGGTTGTTGGATTGCCCCATTCTGCCTGCCTGGTGTTCCAGCTGTGGCACAGGAGTGCCAGGGAGGTGGAGTGGGACAAGCCCCTGTGCCCCCTGCCCTGGTATGTCCCTGTCTCAACCAAGCTTCATAATCTTCATTGGTGAGAAGAGTATGAAATCATTCAGTATTTAGAGTGTGTACTGCGGATGTAGAACACCTTTTGTCAGGCAACAACTTTTCTCGGAATCTAACTCCACTATTTACATACTTTCTTATGGAGGAAATTGCATTAACTTTCTTTTACTTAAAGTAGCATTTTTCCTGAACACACACATTAAATGTGAAGTTACTGTACAAGGATTCTATGGTACTAAATGCTACTCACTTGTGGCTGAGGTCTTGCTGACTCTACTAGGAGTACTCTGAAGCTGCCCAGTGTTTCCTGTGGGGGATTACTGCACTTTTCATCTTTGCATGGACACCTGTAGGTGAGGAGTAGCTTCAGTCCATCCAGCCATGGCTGTGGATTTCACTTGCCTTTCCTGGGAAGATGGGGGAAGAACAGAGTCTTATGCTAGAAACATCAGGGTTATTTTTCAGGGGGAAAAGGCAATAGGCCACACTTATTGCAAATATGGCATATGCATTAATTCATACGCACATCTCAAAGCTAGTGTCATAGTTGCGAGTCTTATTGGTGCTTGTGCCGGCCAAGTAGAACCAGCCTGTCAGCTGCCGTCCAATGCGCCGAAGTTGTCTTTACCGAACTAACTCAAATCTTCAAAGCTCCACTCCCCCATTTTTAGGGCTGTAACCTCCAGAGTCATGCTGGAGTCATCCAATTGTTTTACCGCAAGGCTACTTCCATTGTTATGCCCCATCAATCCTTTGATATATGAAGCGGGAGTGACTGCAGCTGGTTTTTCTTGATTACTCAAAAGCAAGGACTTATCCCTGTGAATAATTCTGCCCCTCTTGGGCCATTCGGAATTGCCTGATGCCTGTGTTCGCAACTCCTCCTTAACCATTCTGCCCATCTGATGCTGGTGTCTCCTGTCTCGTCTTCCCGCATGAACACAAAGACGAGTTCATTTCAGAGAGCCATTTCTTACAAAGGAACAGACAGAATTTCTTACAAAGTTAATTTTTTTAAACAATTTCTTAGTAACTTATACGAACCCAGAATATATTTGAATACCCAGCAGTGGCTGTAAAACAAAACTTATGAAAGAAACTATATAAAATTATATTACTACTACGGGCGAGCCTACACAAGCCTTGCCGAGTTGGGAGCACGTAGTGTTGAGCAGGCTGGTACGCTTTCTTGGTAGAAGCTGCGTTGTCCTTTGGCTGCCTTCTAGTTGTTGGGGAAGCAGGATGTGAGACAGAAGATTCTGTTCCTAGAGCTTTGCACCCAAAAAACAGGGTTACTTACCTGCAACTGTTGGCTGAGGAGGAGCTGCCTTGAGCTCGATCAGCTCTTGCGCTGCTTCAAAGGTCTCCAGCGTGGATGGCCTTTGCAGCTGTATCAGTTCCGGACTATGTGCACCGCGTCATCACGACGCTTCTGGGTGCCATCTTCCTGTCGGCGCTGGGGGGACTGGGAGGGTGAATGTATTCGGTGCCGGCTCTCGTTCAGTCTCTTGGCCAGAGACCTCCCCCTATTGCCTCTTCTCTTCTTCGGCACCAGAGACTGGGATCAATGCCTTGGTGCCGAAGGTTTCGGTGCTGTGGTACGGAGAGGTCCTGATTGGGTTTCCCGCACTGATGCTGGTGCACTGCGGATCACACCTTCCTTCTCTGATACCGGTTGGAGCGCTGACTCCATTCAAATGAGTTAAGCGGGAATCTCTCTCCCTTTTGGTTCTTGGCTTAAAACTCCTGCAGATTTTACAGGAGTCCGTCAAGCGGTCCTTCCCCAGGCACTTTAAGCAAGAGTCATGGGGGTCTCCACATGGCATCGGTTTAGCGTGGGATGCACAGGGTTTGAAACCGTGCGGGCCTGGCATGCCCTCCCCCGAAGGGGAGAGAACACTCAAACTACCTAAGTGCTAACTATACTACTAAATGCAAACTAAGCCTAAAGAACTATTTACGCTACAAAGAACTCTGATCGCTGGATTGACAAATCAACAAGAGAAGCTCCAACACCCGTCAAGGGCGGTAAGAAAGAACTGAGGAGGGGGAAGGCCGGCAGGGGTACTTCTGTTATTGTGGCACCACTCCAGGGGGTGACCTGCCTGCCCAATGGGTACTGCTGGGGGAAAACGGCTCCAGGAACCATGCACGCGGCGCGCGCACACCTAATTTGAATGGACATGAGCAACCACTCGAAGAAGAATGCATGTTTATTGCAACAAAGCTACATCTCTTCAGGGTTAGGCTTCTGCTCTGACATGAACTCACATGTGGGACTAGGCAAGTCTAGCCATGTCCTTTCTATAACAGGCTCAGATGAGAACAGGCCTGTGCCCCCTTGCACTGTTTAGAAGATCAGGTGTCTCCTCTCCATACACAGTGAGAGGGATCTGGCTGAAGTGGTGTTTACTGAATAGGGCTTTTCAAGGATATCAGGCCAGAGCCCAGTTTTCAGACTTTGCTTAATCAGCAGTTCCCAACCTCTTCCAGATGGGGGCCCATTTTGACAATTCAGGAAGACTTGGTGATTCAAAAAAAAGGGGGGGCAGAGCCACCTGGGGAGACACTTGGCGACCTTTTGAAATGTAATGGCCACCCATATTTGGGTCCCGACCCATAGGTTGGGAAACCTTGGCTTAAATGGACCAGTCTCATATCCAAGAGGCAATCCACTTACATTTCACTTGTGTGGACTCCATTTGCCGTGGTCTTGTGCTATGGAGCTGTGCCATGCGCCATAGGCGATGAGTAGCCATGCACGTCAGAGAGCAGAGCCTCGGAACACTACGTACAAGGATGTCCTGAACTCGATTACCAGAGTATCAGCGAGTCAGGCCAGCAGGGACCATTGTGGTGATTTGTTTAGGCCACAAAATCCCCCAAAGTAGTTCCTAGAGTGGATCTTATAGGGAAAAAACCCAACCTTGATTTTAAATATTGGCCATGACACTTATAACCCTTGGGAAATTGTTCCAATTCATTGCAAAGTGAATGATTCAAATTACTAAGCAGATGATCCACTCAGCCATAGCCACATCATTTTCTCAATTTTCCTTAGGTTTCATTCTTGCAACTAGGCCCTGCAGCATCATCTTACACCGTTAACGTCTTATCCTGGGAACACATTTCTTCTCAATATTCACATATGGGGTTCTCACACCCAGAAGCCATGGCAGTTTTTCTGTGGCAAGTAGGGCTGTGGTATCCAACCAGTTCTGTGACTACTGCTATAGCGAACAAGCTGCACTCAAACCGGCCAAATAGCCACATGTGGCTAGTGGCTAGTTTATAGGAGCCCCCCAGGTGAAGGGGACTATAGAAAACTCTGTGTGCTGAATGTCTTCCCCTTTTTCTTTCCAGTCCAATCTCCTGTTTCTTTCTAGGCTGCCTCCAACCTTTCTGATATATTGTCTGCCTTAAGACAATGTCTAACTCCTCTGCCAAGTTTGGCCCAGATCTACCAGCACATAAGCACGGAATAAGAACAATCCCGCCCAGCTTGTATCTGTCTTGGTACATGGTACTTTTTAGTCTAAAACAAATAGAAAGCTTTGAAATAACTTTCAGAAAGCAAGAGCTGGTAGCTAGGCTGGACAGACTAGAACCATTCATTCATTTTTGAGATGGTAAGTATGGCTGTAGTGAGTTTGAGATTTAATAGTAACATTTCTAAATGAGAAATTAATATTTTTAAATCAATATTTTTTTTAACCATCATTTTTATCCATCTTGCTCTAGTTTTTAAAACTGCTCTATAACCTTTAAGTGCCAGCAACCTGGTTCCATTTTGGTAAGCTCTACCCCTCTTGTATAGCTACCATTTCCCCCAAAGTTTCCCCAGTTCCTGATCAATCTAAATCCCTCCTCCTTACATGATCGTCTCAGTCACGCATTGACACCCTGCAGTTCTGTCTAGCTAGTCCGGTGCGTGGAACTGGGAGCATTTCAGAGAACACGACCGTGGAGGTGAAGCCATGAGATGACTTCCCACCTGGAAGGGGCCATACTGAATGCAGAGTGCTGACATTCCCAGTTTGAAGATCTGTGCTAGTGGTGACATTTCCAGGAGGCTGGATTTCAGTTCTCCCTGCAGCGAAATGAAGGCTGGGGAAGACAGACTGCATAGCTCTAACATTTTGCTCCATGTACCTCTGGCAAGGCAGCCTTCCCTTCTATCACAGCTCCTGCTCACAAGCCTAATCCCTCCTCTCCAATAATGTATAAATCCTTTCTGAACGCAAGAGCCCAGTGACAACTTTAAATACGCTTCTGTTCCCAACACCAACACCCGCATGGCTGGCTTCTCATTCGCATGCTGCTAAAGCAACAGCTAACATCCTAACAGAGTACTCCAATGTATGAGATTCACGAGCTAGGAGACAGATTACAGTAGCACACTTCCTGGCTGCTGGAGGCTGAGCTCCCAAGTACAAATGCAGCCTGGGAATGGGGGGGAGCGTGCCCTCTAGAGGGTGTCAGCGCGATTGGGGGCAAAGGAGAGAGAAATCTACCTACATGAGCAATGAAGGATGTGATGTTCTAGTAACTGCTGCCTGATGTACAGCCTGTGGGCAGCAGCAGACGGTGCCAGAGAGTTTCCTCAGCCTGCAGTATCTATCATCACTCTAGATTGGACTTAATTGGCAATCAGGCTTTTCTGGTTCTCTCTTGGATCAAACAGGCTTTAGTCTAACAGCCTTTAGAGCATCCCCTGACATTTAGGCTCTGATGTGGTTTTCTAACTTATAACCTCAGTTAAATGCCATTAAGCTGAATGTAGGGCCTCACTTTGGCTGGCCAATTAATGACCATGGTATAAGCACAGTCACACTGGGGCAGACCAAAGGTCCATCTAGCCCAGGTTCCTGTCTGCTGACAGTGGCCAATGCCAGGTACCCCAGAGGGAATCAAATGATCCCTCCCCTGTCACCCATTTCCAGTCCTTGACAAACAGAGGCTAGGGACACCATTCCTACCCATCCTGGCTACTAGCCAGTGATGGACGTAACTTCCATGAATCTATCTAGCTCTTTTTGGAACCCTGTTAAAGTCCTGGCCTTCACCACATCCTCTGGCAAGGAGTTCCACAGGCTGACTGTGCTCTGAGCGAAGAAAAACTTCCTTTGGGTTGTTTTAAACCTGCTACCTATTGATTTCATCTGAGTGGGATCCTTCCTGTCTGTCTATTGACTTTGATCTTTATCTGCTTAGGTTTAGCACCCATTCTCCAGATACTTAAGGAAAAGACAGGAAGGGGAGTGGGAGACAGAGCATCATTCTCTTTCCCCCTCCCTCCCATTTCCCTTCTATTTATTTTGAGTTTTCAAATCCCCTACTCAAAACTCCGGTCATCTGAAGAAGTGGGCTGTGCCCACGAAAGCTCATGATCCCGTCTACATGTTTTGTTAGTCTACAAAGTGCTATCAGCCCATTTGTTGTTTTTTTCCTACTTCTTATGTGACGGGAACAAGTAAATAACTTTTCCTTATTTATTTTCTCCACACCTGTCACAATTTTATAGACCTCTCTCATATCCCCTCCAGCAACTCTGACTCCCAGACACTTCACCCGAAGGGCGTTTAACATAGCTCAGCTGCTTCATACCCGGGTAGTTAGGGCACCTCTCCACAAAGCCAGTCCAGAACCCTTCCTTCCAGAGGCATTTCAAACATGCCCAGAGCTGTAACCAAAATGGCCAGCTCTGAGGCTCCCATTGCAAAACATACCCAGAGCTGGCAAGAGAAGCTCCAGTGATGGGCTCCTTGCGTCCAGTGCGTTTAGTTTTAATTTGAGAAGAGGGGATTCTCTGGACCTTCACGTCCTCCTCTGTTTTGGAAAGAGATGGCTGGGATCCACAAGCGCGTGCCTGAGCCAGGGCTCTAATTTTTTCCTGCAAGCAGCCAAGCGCTGTTGGTCTTGAGTTTAACACTGCCCCTCTGCTGGAAAAGTAGTAAGCAACTGAAGTGAGGGTGACGGCCTCCGATTAGCCCAATTGCAGCGCCTCCGATTAGCCCAATCTCTTGCAGAACGGCATGCGAAGCGACAGCACAGCCGTCAGACAGCCGATAAATCCACGGTAGAGAAATTGTCATTTCTGGCCATTGTCCTGCCCTCTCCACCCCCACCCCCATACCCATACCACACAGCAGTAGAGGGGGGGTCTGGCGCCACACGCTAGCAATGATCAGGGCTCAACAAATCAGTGAATCTACTTACCCGTAGGGAGTAGATTTCAGCCGGCTGCCCCGTTCACCAGCGGAGCGCGCATGCGCAATGCGGGTCTTGTGCATGTGCAGTGCAGGGCTGGCGAGTAGATTTTGCCACCATTTGTCAAGCCCTGGCAATGATCACGCTTTCCCACAGGGGCGGGAGCCAGCCGGGCGGGGCAGCTGTGTGCTCGGGGCAGGGCACGCTAGTGCTCCCATTTCCCCTGCAGCTCCAGCTGCCACAGGGAGAGTGTGTATGTGGGGGTGCGATTGCTGCCACCTCGTGACACCAGGCACCCCCCAGAGATCTCCAAAGTGCCACGTGGAGAGGGCAGGGTGATGGGGGGAAGGGGAAGGGGCTAGGGGGCAGTACCCCCACCCACCAGGAGTCCCCGGCAATTCACTCCAGCCAGGCCAGGCTGGCAGGCTGGGACGCTGAGACCCCTGCTTTAGACCATCTATTCTGGGTGCACAATGTGAGGCTAAATTATACTCCTGGATTTTCCTGGACAACCTTAGGCTGATAATCGGTTTTCTCCACAGAGCCTAAGCGATGACTGCAAGATTTTCCCATGGATTTTAGATGAAATCTACTAATATAATTCTAACAGTTCAGCCCATCCATTTCAGTAGCCAGAAAAAGAGCTACTCAAATTCTCCAGTTCCCATGCGATGAGACTCTCCCATGTTCCACACACCTACAGTGATTCCAAAGCCTGAAGATGTTACCTGCAAGTTGCTTTACAACTTGTTTCTGTTGACTCCCACCCTGCCAGATCTATAATCTGTAAATCGGGGCAAAACTGTGCAGAAGAAACGGTTTGGACACAGTCGCCACACAGGCTGCATGGATGTATGCACCTACAGATGCGCATCTGACACGTTCCCAACCCGAACACCAAATCGGCCAGGAAGTTCTGATTCAACGTATAGAACAGTCAGTGTCAAATTCACTCTTTTGTGTTTTATTTTCTCCCTTCAACCATAATTATGTGGTATCCAAACTTCGTTTTGACGGGCGGGTCTGTGTACACTGGCTTGTCCATACTACTGACTGCCAAGGCAAATGCTGCTTCCTGGAAAGGTCCCACCATGGAACCTCTGGTCATCCAGCCTAAGTCTCCCTGAAAGAGTCAAAGAAAAGGGCCAAGTCTGAGAATCCCATTTCCAAACATGCACACAGCGGCACTGGGCAACAGCAGCGAGCATTGCTATCAAGCAATCTAATCCAACATGCAGAGGATGTAAGAATAGATAACCTGTTTCCATTTATGGCTTGGAACCTCAACCTGTGTGGCTGTCTACTACCCCACAGAGGTGTGTCGAGTATCAGACACTATGGTGATGCATGTAATATGAAAACCTATATAAAATAAGAGCACAAGAAAGGCCAAACCGAGTCCGAGTAATGATCCCTCTAGCTCAGCGTCCTGTCTTCCAACAGTGGCCAATGCCAGGTGCCACAAAGGGAATGAACAGAACAGGGCAATTAGTAAGGATCCTGCCCGTCATCCAGTCCCAGCATCAAAATCTTAGGGACACCCTGAGACTTGGGTTGCATCCCTGACCACCTTTGCTAAAAGCCACAGATGGACCCATGCTCCATTCACTTATCTAGTTCTTTTTTAATCTAGTTAACTTTGGTCTTTACAACATCCCCTGAACACAAGTGCCACAGAGTGACTGTGCAGTGTGTGGAGAAGTACTTCCTTGTGTTTTAAGCCTGCTGCCTGTTAACTTCATAGGATAACCCGGCATCTCGGGTGAAGGGGCATTCAGTGCTTCCTTCTCCACCTTCTCCATAACATTTATGAATTTACAGACTTCTATCATATACCCGCTTAGTTGTCTCTTTTCCAAGCTAAACAGTCTCTCTTGAATCTTGTTTCCTACTCCTATTCATATTTATTGCCCTTTTCTGTACCTCTTCCATTTCTAAAGATCTTTTCTGAGATAGGGTAACCAGAATTGCATGTAATGTTCAAGGTGTAGGCATACCATGGATTTATATAGTGGTACTGTGATATTTACTATCCTAATGGTTAGCTTTTTTGACTGCTATGATATCTGTGTTGATAGACATACTTGCTGACAGGTATTTTGAAATGTACTAAAATATTTGAAACTGGCATGATTATATTGTGTTTAACAACAAAATACGCAGACTTTTACAAAAAATTAAAATATTGTAAGCAGAATTTTAAATGTTCTGGTGCAGAATTCCCCTAGTAGTAAAGACTTAGTGATAGTGTTCTGTCAAGGTGGTGTGGCTATGGACAGTTTCCTGAGAGGATCAGATTAATCATCAGAGGAGTCATAGTACGTTGAGTGCACACTAACACCATCCTCTGTGACAGCATATTTCCATGCAAAACCAGATTGGTGGGGAAGGAGGAGAAATATGGGCCATGCAAAGATTCTTATAATCAGGGAAGGAGGAGGAGCACGAGATCCAGAAGACCATTCGAGACTTCACAATGCAACCTCATTTATCTGCCAAGTGCTATGATACCACTGTTTGGAAGGTTTCCCAGAATCCTAGTCTCCTGCTAACACTAGACCTACTGATCAAACTTACTCACCCTCTGAGCCATGTATGATGATCTTCAGAAGTTAAAGATCTGGGTGCATCTGCCAGTGCTTGGGGCTTCAGCCTCCTGCCAGGCTGAAGCCCGGAGTCCCTTCCTGCCTTCAACAGGGCACAGACCTCTAGTCCTACTACTCTGCCACAGGGCAGAAGCCCTGAGCTCCCCCTGCCCCAGTCTGGAAGATGGAGAATGATGGTGGAGGGGAAGGCGGGGGAGCCGCACTTTAACTGTGAAAGAGTCACACGTGACTCACGAGCAGTGGTTTGGCCACCCCTGCACTAGACATCAGGCAGTCCATCTAAGAGCCGTCAGCACAAGCCTGGCAGCCAGCGATACATACCCCTTGTCTGGCTTTATCTTCACTGTACTGTGAGGCTACTTCACTGAAACGCACTCCAGATTTCAGCTTCTCCATGGCCTCCATGACTCTGCTGTGCTTCTCACACAGAATGTGTCTAACCTAGGATGCAAAAGCAGGAGGAAGTTACATTTTGGGGGCTCAGCTCCCCTCAAAACAGTCATTTTATTGCAGTTTACCAAACAGGCTCCTGTCTGTGTTGCTGCGCCCTGATTGCTGCAGCTCATAGTGTGGTTCTCACCACCACAGGACTGAGTCTACTGAAAGGCTTCCCACTTCTAGGCCAGGACATTCGGCACAATTGCTGTCCCAACCAGCAGCCAAGGCAGAGCGAGGCAGTCCTCTGTCCAGCCTGCCTCCTGCTGCTACGGCAAGTGGCCTACCAGCTTGGTAGTGGACCAGTGCTACGCAACCCACACCTCTCCCACTGCCCCGTCACACAGGTAGGCTGCACTCAGCAGGTGCCTTTGGCAGGCACCTTTCAGTCACCAGAACCACACTGGCTAATTGGGGGTTGCTGCCTTGTGGGCCAGCATGAACCCCTGACCCTTAGAGCCAAATCCAACCTGGGACCCCAGTGGCTGCCCACGGATGGGTGCCCACAGCTGACCTTGTGCCACCTGTGCACCCCACGTGCTTGGCAGCTGGATGCCAGTGAGATGGGTCTCTAGCCCCGCGATCCCTCTGTGCCTCACTCACCTTCACAGAGCTGCCCCCCCCCTTTGGGGCCGGGGCCTGCTTCTCAGCGCTGCCCCCACCGCCG